GGGAAAAGTACAAAAATTGTTCTCTCTTAATGGGAAGAATGTCAAACCCTAATTCTCTCATTTCCTAAATTAAGGAAGATTATATCGTTTTGCAGCAGAAATTTGTGATTTTGGTTTACCTAATCTGTTCGTTGGCTTTTTTTTTCTTCTTCTTTTGCGAATGAGATTTTCTTCATTAAACCTGCCGGATTACATGCTTATAATGTTTATACTCATTCCTAATTTTTTGTTTTTAAGTTTAGAATATAGGGATTTGAACTTTGTAACATCTTCCAACAAAATGAATAAAAACATTACTTGGTCTTAATGCGATACCTAAAATTAAAATTATGGGATGACTTGGACAACCTTTATACTAAGGGTAGAATTCATAAGTTCTCTAAACAATTTTGTGGACAATGCCCTTCTTCCCATTATGTTATTAACTATTGAAAAGATTTTGGTTTTGTGTGGAAGACATGGTAGCATATTGGAATATGAAGCTATCTTGTTAAAGTTATTTCCTAATTGGCTGCCAAACCAATTTGGGATTTTTTTTCTAATATTCTATATGAGGGGGGATGCCAAACTTGTTGTGGGCAACATTATTGGAAAGGCTACCTTAGCCTAATTGGCAGCTTCGTAGTTATGTATGTCTAGGTTAACTATGTAGCACGCAGTTTGCCTAAATTGTATGGGTCCCCTATCCGAGTAGGTTGGTTAATTAGTTCTTTTTGTTTGTTGTTTTTTTCCTTCTTGCTTTAAAATATGAAAGATGGTACATAACAAAATATGTATTGTATTGTAAATTTGTAACAGACTTTTGCTCGTTATAGAGTCTACATGGACTATAAAACTTTTTCGGCATGACATGTGGATTATTTAGAATAAAATAATCAAGGATCGAGTGAAGATAGTCAAAAAAGTTGTCCTTTGATGCGAGGGTTATGCAAAGGCATGCCAGCTATCACGGTCACTTCGGGCATGATAGCGATGAGCGAATTTTGGTGGTGTGGATAATAGGTTGCGCCGTGGATTTTGACTTCGTTGAGTGACCAGGGCCGAGTAAGGAACACGGTCTCGACCGTTGGGTTCTCTACTTTGGTAACAAAGTTGTTGGTGCGGTGATGAGCACAAAATTAATACAAGTTTTATCCTTAAATTTATATTTGTTAGTATTTTCTTTTGTATTATGTAAATCTATTAGAGTATTTATATTGTTTTCTTTCCAATCTTGTTTTATATTTAATGAGTGGTTATTTGTAGATATTAAGTGTTTTCCACCAATGCCAAATGAAAAGAAGAAGCAATCAATTTCATCTATGCTCTAGGACATGCATGCAAGCTTCCATCATTGAAAAAATAAAGAAAGAATGAATAAACAATGAAGGAGAAGTTCAAATTGACTACTTGCAACCAATGAATGCAAAGAAGAATGATGATGCTTGAGTTGTTATCTAGCTACAATTTGAACTAAGTTGCTGCAGTTTTTTTTTATGAGAAGATACGGGAGATGAGCAAGTGGAGCAATTGATAAGAAGACTCAAAGATCTTTGTGAAACCAAAGTAAAGGAAGTAGGCTAAAGATGAGAAAGATATTTGGAAAAGTAAGCTACTTGATTATTATATAATTCAAGACTCCCTTTCTTTGGCTATAAATACAAGTTTTGAGCAAAGATCAAAAGATATAGAGATATAGAGGAAGAAACACACGGCAAGAGATAGAGAGAAAGAGTGGGGAAGAAAGAGAACAATGATGGAAAGGAAAGAACCAAGAGCTAATAACTCTTTTAAACTTGTTCTTCCTTTCCTAGTTCTCATTTAATTTATGTATTTTAGTTTCTTTGTTTTGTTTTAAATATTATTTATGTCTATTTAAATTACCTAACTAAGGTTGGATGAAACACCATTATTAAATAAAGTTCTAGTTTTTAGTTTCAATTCTCAATTATTGTGGTGTTCAATGATTATAATTTTCACTTCACATGATTAATAGATTAAAATTCTTTTCACCACTTCTATCATGTATTGTGAGATATAACATGTATTTGTGGTAGTTAAGAGTTTGGATTAATCTATTAATTCATCCTTGGTTTATATTTCTAATTTACAAATTTCTTTGATATTTTGTTATTCAAATGAACTTTTTCACATAGGACGCTTAGGAAACTTTGATCCTTTGTAGTTAAATAATTTTGTTTACATATTATGCTTAGAATTTGTACTTATGAAGGGAAGGAAAATTTACTTATGGTCTAAATTACAAGCTTAATTGATAAATCTTGAGAAAGCATTAGATTGATTTCTAGATTGCTACTCCATGGGAATTGAAAGATAAATAATTAGAATCTTATGGAATGATGGTGTGGATTCTAATACCTCATGGTTCCGTAGGCTAGCTTTTAATATAAGTGTGTAATTTTTATTAGTTTGATCCAAACTTAAGCTTTAATGTGAATTTGTAGTATTTGTTCAAATGGAATTTGTAGTTTTCTTTTTAATTAATTGATGAAAGTTTGATAATCTATTTCATGGGTTCAATCATGTTTTTCCCATAGTGTAGTAAAAACTTTCATGCTTTTAAAAGAGAAGAGAATTACTAAAGATTAATAGAATTTTGATGAAGATTATTTTTTGATAGTTTGTTGCCAATGGTACAAGTTATGCTTAGAATACTTCTAAAGGAAATTAAAAAGAGCTTTAATTATTTTGAACAACTACAATGGAAAATATTTTGTGGATCAAATTATTAAGAGTTGCATGCTTATGTTAAAAGTGGAAACCCAATGCCTTAGTGTTTTAATCAATTAAATTTTCTATAAATCAAATCTTGCATAAATCTACCTCTCAATCACACTTGTTCTTTTTCATCTCTGTTATTTTCTTTACACTGCTCTCTGTGGATACGACACTCGGACTTCCGAGCTACACTGCTATACGACACCTCCCTTGGGTTTTGCAAAGTGGTGCGAACAACCGGCATCTATGTATGAGGCAAAAAAGACTTTGTGTGCATTGGGGCTGAGTTATGAGAAAATTCACGCATGCCCCAATGATTGCATCTTGTATAGGAAGGAGTATGAAGATTCAACTAATTGTCCTACTTTTGGTATCTCAAGGTGGAAGGAAGGCAAAGATTCAATCTTGAAAGAGGGTGTGCCAGAGACGGTGGTGTGGTATTTTCCACCTATTCCAAGGTTTAAAAGGATGTTTCAATCACGAAAGACAGCTAAGAGTTTCTAATAGAAAATCAGTTGATGGTCATATGTCTCATCCAGCGAATTCCCCGTCTTGGAAACTTGTTGATGATAAATGACTCGAGTTTGGTAAAGAGCCAAGAAACTTGAGATTGGCTCTCTCATCTGATGGATTCAATCCCTACAGTTCTTTAAGTAGCAGATATAGTTGTTGGCCAGTTATCTTAGTTACATATAATCTCCCACCATGGCTATGCATGAAACGAAAGTTCAT